TGAATGTGGCGGCAGGAGCGAGCCCCTCGGGCCCATGATGAAGAACTGAACTGCTCCAAACTTGGCCCGCTCGGATACCGGCTCCGCACCGATACCGAAGAATATGAATCAATGTTTTTATTCACCCTGAGAGGGGTAGAGCAGTGTACCTAGGTGGATGATGTAACAGTACGTATATGTATATGTATTGCGGTTCTGCGACGGTTGTGCAGAGTGGGAGAGTGTACGTTTCACAAGTCACCATTTGCTGAGGTCATTGAGGGATCGTACCCTAGGACAGACACTCCCGTGGTGCTTGTTGCAGAATCCAGCACATCTCCTACACCGGCAGCTGCTGCAGGGATCGTGGTAGCCCTCGGTTTTACACAACCTGTGGTGGAATCCATGTATCGCAAATCTCGTACCGATACCGAAGAATATGATTTACGGACTGTCCCGCGGCGAAATACCATACTCAGGAGATATCCCCCTACTCAAATCACCAGTGCCAGTCCAGTGCCGTCAGGACCCTCGGAGACTTGAATTCGCAGGCTCTGCGAACCAGCTCCAGAATCACAAGAAAGCGGTGTTAAGACTGATCCCGCTCAACACCGGTGAGCCAGGGGCCACTCTTGAAGCTTCGAGATTCGAGACTTTGATCCTCTGTGAGTGAGCGCGACTGTCGCCTTCATGCACTCGCCTAGTGCCTGGCAGCTCGAGGTCCCTGAAGTTTTCAATTTATCCTCGTGCACCTTCCCCGTGCCCGAACGTGTTCAACGGGGCCGTCCTACCTAATGAGCCGATTCGACGACTGGGTCGATTAGGCCTCGATATCGCTTCGCATTGCCTCTGATTGGGGTCGATGATAATATAATTGCTCCGGCAGATCGCTCCAAGTCCCGAGCCCCGCCTTTGGAGGCTCGCCCAAGACTCTTGATTCAATAGTGAAGTTACCAAGCAGTCTCTAGGGCTCTAGGGTCAAGGGATCTGTAATTTCAGCTCGAGAGCAGACTCCTAGGATTCTCGGTCGAACCCTTGCACAACAGAAATCGACATCGTTGGTGGCGATATCTGCGCTCGTTCTTCGACGGAATTTTCCGCGTCGCTTCATGTTCACCGAACTTAGTGGGAAAGTTCGAAAGTGTTTGAAGCAACCGGTTTTTCAACTGCCGAATCCGGCAGCTTGATCCGACTGCGATCGTTTAGGAAAAAAGGAACGGTCGAATGATAATCGCGAAAAACTCCATCAGGACAAACGACGAGATCGGGATGCTCGGGGACAACGGATAACGTTCGATGGCATATCCCCTGGAAGTTGGAGCGGTGCACATCAGATGTCGGACGTGCAGATTCGCATGGACATGTATCCAGCGCGGCGTTGACGCACAAGGGGACGAGAACCGACCGCGCTGGAATGTAGTTTCCTCCATTTGATGTTTCCATCCTCGTCGGGCGTATGCCGGAGTAGATTTCTGTGGCCATCGCCGACTGAGCCGAAGCATTGTCGACTAAGCATCGGAGGGAGAAGGTCGAGATGATCGAATTCCCGGGAGAAACGAGAAGACAGGGAACTAGGTATCTGGAGTCTTGATCCGACATGGGCAAGCTCAAGAATGAGTCCTGGAGATACAAGAGCTAGAAGGATCAGCAGATCTTGATCCTGGAGTTCGCTCAGGCATCATCCAACGCTAACTCCCGAGATAGAAGATCACCCACGAAGGATGCAGTCGAATTCCAGAGCGAGATATTCAATCGAGTTGTAAGTATGTAGAATAAATTATCTTTCGGCCCCCGTCCCTACTGCGGTCGAGGACGCTGCCTCAATCGACGAGACACTTAACTGGCTCATGGGATCCTCTAGGTTCTGCAACTCATTTACTGGCTTATGGGATCTCGGGCGTCCCAAGAGCCAGCTCGAGGATCTCAGGTCTTCGATTCTGGCATCTGAGGGATTTGAGTCCGATATCATTCTGATAAGGGAGCGAGCTTCGCGAAATGCTAATCAGGTCTTCAATGCTCGGAGAACTCATCTGAGTCGTGAGTAGATACCACGCGTTCTCCGTCCGGCTAAGTCCACCCGCCCGCTTTCGGAGAGCCGATTCTGAATTCTGGCTAGTCGATCTGAGGATCTCAAAGTTTGCTCGATCGATTGAAATCTGCCCTGTCTCCCTCGACCACCACTGGCCGAGGTCCCTCCTGCCATTCCGAAATAAGGCGACAGCTCATTCCTCGAATTGGGTAGGGTGACTCGATCTCGCTCGCTGCCCATCGACTCGACTTCCTCCGGGGGATCCTCGGCGGAATTCGGCGATCTGGGGCGTCGAAAGCGGTGATTACTGTTCCGTCCGGAATTATCTCTATCGCTGCCATCGAAAGTACTAGAACTAGTACCAGAACCTACTAGGGGACTAAAAGAACAGACGATCACTGACTCCTCGACCTGAGGGGAATGCTCGGGAAGTGTCCTCGGTCAATGGGGGCTACGCACCGAGATGAACCATCTCGACCGGGGAAAAGTCATTCGAGAATGATTTGCGCCTTCAGATCGAGTATTGAGCTTCTCTCGACGTCGTTTCGAATTTTCGCGGCGACGAATGTTGGATCGAATGACGTTTCGGACGACGACGAGACAAACCTCTTGCCGCATCAGAGTTCGTCGGCGGATCGTGAGTGCGTCGCGTCCGGTCTCTCTTGAAGTTTTTATCGATCGAGAAATATTGTCTACGAAAAACGTAGGAAAAGAGTGAGCGGAGTTTCTTAGTGCGCCCGAGATTCAAGAGGAGCTAGTGTGTCGAGACGAATAATTTCTACGGCAAATTTTTCTCATCGATCGGTGGAGCTGTCTCACTCCTTGTCTGGTGTGCGTGAATGAGTCAGCTTGTCTGCGATATCTCAGCTGAAACTTGAACGAAAAAGACTTTACTCCTCAAGTCCATATGGGCAGCATCGGCGATTGTAGAGAGGCTGAGAACGAAAACCCAGCGGGTCGAGATTTCGCAGTAGTTCCGAACATGAGAGAGTGCTTAGTGTTGTACAATCCGAATAACCGCATGTTGACGAACGACTGGGATACTCACTCGAGTGGAGAGACTTTCCCGATGATCGACCCTTTGCTGTCGGATGCTCGAAACTGCAATATGTTTCACGAAGCGGTCATCCGGGACGATGACATGATTTTCAAGAACGACGACCGCATTGAGATCTGTGATCTGATGAGCGGTCAGCTGAAGAAAAGGTTCGACCGGCCGCTACTCGACGAAACTTCTGTTTTTGTTTTGGAGAAGGGTCGAGTTTACGTCAATGACGATAAGCACATATACGAAGTGACGAATACAGATCAGATAGTGGTCGTGGCAGAATCCGCCGTCAGCATACAAGACTTTTGCGTGATTCGACACGACGAGGCGGAGTTTCGATGCGCATTGCTGGCGCCACAAAGTAAAATTCACTTTGTGGTCAGAACCAACACCAATGCTTTTCGAGATGTGATGAAGTACGAAATTCCCGGAGCTTTTGAGATTTGCGGGCACAGCCGAGGAAACGTTCTTCTTCGCACAATGAATCCCGAAACTCAAGTCAGTGACGCCATGCTGAGCTTGATCAACGAAGAAGCTGAGGAGGATTTCATAGCGCTGCCCGAAATACTTTGGGGAGCCCAGATTCTAGATGACAAAGTTTTTACGAAGCATGGGAACTCTGTGATTGTTGTCGATATCGAAAATCGTGAAACAGTCCGCCAAACACTGTCAAGTCTCGACCCCGATTGTTTCCTCATTAAAAGATGTTACTGCTGATATCACAGATGTACTGTACCATTACCAGCAAACCAGCAGCACCCCAAAGTAAACACCAGACGACGCTCACACGATTTTTGAATAAATCCTAAAATTATTATTACTGTTACTGAAATACGCTGGTCTTGATTATTTTTCATCTCAAATTCCCTCCTTCGTGCCGATTGGTCACGACAGATTGAGACATCCATGAGTGAAGAGCACGTCGAACAGTCGAAGAAACGCCACTCTCTTGCCTCCCACCACAGAGTTCTTCCACTTGTTCCTTGAAGAACTCTCTCGTTTAGCGTCAACCTCTCTGCGCTATGTCATTCTCACCTCGGAAGCAGATAATTTGCCGGGGGCACCGTCGAAAGGCTGTTGGAACTACGGCCTCCAATCAATTGCAATGATCGGAGGGTGAGGGAGTCTGATTCCCTCGCTGGTTTTGTTGTTTTCCTGTACTATTTCATCGAAATATGGCTGAAGATGGAAAACGAAGCCTTGCTTCGGAGATTGGAGGTTCTTTGCGGGGAAACCCGAAGAAATCGCGCCCGACAGGGCAAGGGAGAAAAAGGGAGGTGCAGAGACGGAGAAGAGCCGTGGGTATTCGCGCTCTCCCCTTGACTATCGACGCTTTTCGGTTCGGAAGTTTCCCTCACAGCTCGCGGCCTCGCGGCCTGTATAGAGAAAGCGGCTCCACTGGGGAATGGCTCATTGCTCTGGCAGATGGAGTCGCATGTGATTAGGATTTCGGGCCTTCGGGACAAGCCTCCGCTCGGAAGCATCCTGTCTTGAATCTGCAGGGTCAATGATCTTCCAGGAGGTAGCTCGCAAGAGGCACGCACAATACTTACGGGGCAGGCGGGAGACGGAGTTGCGGCTTATCCGAGGCGATGTCGTGGAATCAGAAGGCGGGGAGAGATATAAAGTATTACGGGAGCTCGGCAGGGGGACTTTCGGTGCGGTCAGTACGAACTCTCTTCTCTTCGAAATCCGCTCGAACGGAATAATTCATTTCTCGAAGTGAGCGTAGAGATTCCATTACAGGTGTTTCGTGTCGTCGACACTTCCAAGCGTAGATTTGCCTTGAAACTCTTGAAAAACGGTCAAATGACCATGCGTGAGGTACCGCTAAGAACTCCGTGGAGAATTTCCCCGAGAGGAAACCGTGTCTAACAACCTTTTAATTTCAGGGGAGATTCTCCCGATTGGTTTCAGATGAATTCGGCAGGCACGATCACATAGTACGGATCCTCAGCGTATTTGAGACCACTCAGGAGAGCACGTGTATCCTCATGGAGTATCTCCCGCTGTCACTGCAGGAGTACCTCCGTCTCGATCCAGAACTGGAGCTACACGAAATTCGTCTGATAACAGCAGGGGTTCTCCTCGGCTTGTACGCTTTGAAACAGATACACTTGATTCACGTCGACATCAAACCCAACAACATCATGTTACTCAAAGCGGATGATTGCATCCGAGCAAAGGTTCGAATCTCATTCTTTCAGTCAAGGTATGTTCTTCCGAACCACAAATCGCCTGTATTGCATACGGATCCCCTCGCTCCCGCAGATCATCGACTTTGGGATATGCGAGTTGACTACAGAAGGCCCTCATTTGGGACTCTACGTCCAGGCGAAGTATATCCGGCTATCCTCAGACGGAAGAAATTCATCATATCGCTTCATGGGAATTCCTCCGTACTTATTTGCAACGGAGCATCCTTGAACAGAACCACGACGTCCCTGAATATTCACAGGCCCTACAGAGCACCAGAAGTCTTCCTCGGTTACGAAGTGACGCCTGCAATTGACATTTGGTCTCTTGGAGTTTGTGCCTCTGAAATGTGTATCAGGGATGCTCTTTTCGACAACTTGGATTCGAATGAAGCTTTCCGGTTAGACTCTGATTCGAAGTTCTCTATGTCGGTGATTGAAATCCTCTCTGGAAGGGTTCGAGCCTTTAGTCTGCTAATGAACTCGACAGGAGCATTTTGAGGCGAATCGTCGTTGAAGACGATGCGTATATCGAGGACGCTCCGAATAGGGATAGATATTTCGAACTCGCAGAAGATGGCTATTTTGAGTTCAAATACGGCAGCTTGCCGGCTAACGGGGCTAAGCTCGATCGAATCTTGATGGTGAGTTCGAATTATCAGGGAATTCTTATTTCAATATTTTGCCTCGTGATATTGATTCTTTCCTCGTATGGAAGAAGGGACTCGAGGCTCACAGCAGACTCAACGATTTCGAAAGGAGCGACTTCGTCGATTTGATGATCAAAATGGTATGTTTCGATCATCGCTCTCGAATCACGGTGGAAGTCGCTCTCCTGCAAAACTTCATAACCATGAGCAACGATTCCGACCCGACGTCCGCCTGCCCATACTCGGGCAAGCTCAGACATAAAGTTATGCTCCATCAATCTTGTCCGACTTTGCGTGGAACCCTGAGACAACTCAAGAGATTGGGACTGGTGAGAGCAACGACAGAGGCTAAGCTTCCGCCCCTCGTTCTTCTGAGAGTCTATTCCTCACGTGACCGATTCATTCTAGAACGGGGGAAACGACGACCCCACGGAACGGGACACGCTGGACAGTCTCGGGACTTCCCCAAGCGACTCTGAGATCGAAGCCCCAGCGAGGAAGAGACTCAAGAGCGTATACCCCTCATGAGAGTTAGAGCGCGATGCCCGCGAATTTCTCTGAATATTCGAAAATTGCATCCATAGGTTCGGTCTGATCGTTCCCGAAGGGGTACAAAGGATGATTGTGCTTCGTCCCGTCGTACAAGTTCCCAGAATCACCGTTGAGGTCCATCTCTGGGCTTGGCGCCGCTTTCTTCTGTATCCGGATGATACGCTCAGCTTCGGATTAGGATATGATTACCACGCAGGATCCAACTTGGCTAGGACTACGCAGCCCAAATTCAAATGAAGGTTCCATTTTCTGGGTAGAGTATAAAGTAGAGAGGATGGTTCCTCGAGTTCTGCGCGCTCACCTCCGATGAAGTATCGATAGCTGCGACGAGGTGCTACAAAGATGAGTAGGAAGTACTTGCGATGAGAGGCTTTCCCTGAGTCGTCTGCTTCGTGAATAATTCTAAAGAATGGATACTTGAGTTACCGGTGGCCTACCGTTGATAGGGGGCTCGACCTGTACCCGCCATTGCATATGAGTTAAAGCGAACAATCAGCTCGAGGCCCATCTCCATTGACAATAGCCGTAATGGTGGGTGCTCTCATGTGAATTCATGGCACGGTGTCATCTCGCATCACAGCGTCAGTATCTACTTAGCCTCCTCATCAGGGCAGCTCAACAAAAATCGACTCATAGAGCGCGACATGATGGGCAAAACAATGCGGCCGTTGGTATTTCAAACGCTCATCTTGCTCACCGTGCATCGAATACATGACATCAAGACGTGTAGAGGTACCGATAGGGCTACGCTTCCCAGTACAGACGGAGTCAATACTAGGATGCTCGCGATGGGATCTGTTAGTTGCATTCTCTCGAACGGGGCCTAGAGCTGCAAGCCAAGTTCACATAATCTCTTTCGGCTCCCTTCCCGAGACATCGTGAATAGGAGGAGAGCTGAAACGATGCGCCCGTTACGGTCCCCATTTTGGTCGAAATCTCCGCGCTGTTGAACGTGACTCTTCTCCACGGAGATCAATCGCGCAACTCTTTCAGATCAGGATGTGCATATTTATTGGAGAGGTGATCATAGGCCCATACAAAAGATTTCATTCGGAGATATCCTGTGCTGCGGCAGCTTGATTTCATCACATAGTGATCGTGCAATCCAGTCGGCTGATGACCAAGCGGAAATCTCCGTCAGTCGACTATCCTCAGGTTCGAGGAGCAGCATAGCCGGCTCCAGGACTCAGCCGCGAGTAAGTACGTCGAGTGCAATTTTTCACGCTCGATAACTCCTGTCATCAGAATTTCACAGTGATCAAACACCTTCCGAACGTGTACTGCCCCTCCCGTGCGCCCGCGCAGTGAGCGGAACACGGATTCAGGTAGGTTTTTCCTTTGTAGCACACACTTCGCAGCTCATACGGACAGTCGCACTCGCTAGCCGGAGACTGGGTCGCTGGAAGATGGGCAAGAAATCAGGCACTGCGCGCGGGATTTATTGTAAATTCTGCTTCCGATCGCTCCTCGAATGTTTCTGCCGATGCCATCCGGTGGACGGCTCGACTCTCTGTAGAATCCTTCGCCAAGCAATAATGTCATGCAATAGTTCGAATTAACGTACCTGTAGAGCGAGCCCACGAAGCATGAGTCATCACGAGAACGAACAGCAGAAAAATAAGATTCATGTTTGGGTTCATCCGACTCCAACGGGTCTTCTCCTTTAGGTTGGCGGCAAACCTTCCGGACACTTCTAGACTCAGTCGACTCCACTCTTTGCTCGGCTGTCCGGGCGATCTCTGGGCGGAGCGTGTTACGTCTAGCGATACCCTCGTAGCATCGAGAAGACTCGACTCTCGGCGCTACGTCGTAGATGTTGTTTCCGGCTCTTAAGCGCATCACGGGTCATCACACGTTAGATTCGTCGCCAATTGAGGCCCCTCCAATCCGTCAATCTACCCTGTTGACATCGTTCGACTGCGGAGCTGGACTGGCACCACAGTCGTATTCAATGGGGAAAAACTCTGAAGCTTCTCAGGATTTCCTCTCTCCGTATTAGTGCTCCGCGTGATTGGGAATGTCCGCTTCTTATGTATATGAATGAATATCCAAATGTCTCCGCGACTCACGGCCCAAGGCCCGATCGCATGGCGCAACATCTGGTCACGGCATGTGATTCGCTTCTTGCGCATGTGACGCGCAAGTGACTTGGGAGATCTCGGGAGGAGGAGCCTCGGTCCGAAATCGCTCCGTTCCGGGGATTTGTTTTTCGGCATTCGCTCCTCTTCGGCTTATTCATTTGAATAAGAGCCTAGCATATGGAGCAGTGATGTAGAATCCGATGACGGTCTGAGCGGAGAGATTAATGCTTCTAATTGTCGACACCGCGTGTCAATATCACTGCCACTAGTATGGGAATCGGTGCGAGATGGGAGTAGCCTTGTGAATCCGACCTTCCGTAGACAATAGGTTCGCAGGCTTGCGGCGGAAAGCGTGATCGTCGGTTTCGTATCACTTCGCTCAGTCGGAAGTCGACGAGTGGTTCATGTGAGCGACATGGGAGCTTTCGATGTTCTGTCGCTGATTCTTTTAATCTCAAGCGGTAAGCGGATCTTCACGATCGTCCGGCTCGCGCGCTCTCCGCGACACGTTCCGCAGTGGGTCCCATCCCAATCCTGACTTGAGTGAGTTTTCATTGCAGTCCGCAGCCAAAACTCGAACTTCAACAATGGGTCATTTGTGCCAACTCAGGTGAATTCATTGATGCTATAGAATTCTGGAATATAATCGTAGAAATCGTAGGATAACGCCCAACGTATCCGTAAGTCTTTTCCTTCGATCCAATTATCCGAAGTTGACTTTGATACCATCCCAACAGGCCAGACCTCCCAGCCCGGCTGTGAATTTCAACAATTTCGGGGCGTACAGTCCCGAGAGAATATGCGCCCAAGGGCCGGGAATGATGCAGGGACAGCCGGTTTATCAGCAGGTGAGAGATCTCCGGAAGACGCGTACGACAGAATACGTTACAGAGACGAGAATCCCCTCAGACGTGCAATCGGGATGTGACTTCAAAAGAATAGTCGCAGATCGGGACTGGAAAGATCTTCACTTACTAAACATCTCATGCTCCCGAAGGGAGGTTTCTTAGGAGTTTCCGGTAACCAGCCGAGCAACCCATGCGCCGTCACCTGTCAAAATCAGCAAGCGGCTTGGATGGTCGCGAAGCCACATGGGGCGCCTTGCAGGATTCCGAGCGACCCAGAAGGCGAAAGGTGATTAGGTTTTGGGCCGTGACATTCGTTCTGCTGCTCCATTAGGTTTCTAAGAATGCGGTGGTAGATGTCAGAACGAGGAAACGAATTTACCCTCCAATTTACGGCAGGTATTGCTTCAATCAGATCTGCGTGGCATACAACGCCTCCCTCAACGATTACTGTCGTGGAGCCCTGAATCTGAACCAGAATTCACCGAGCTACATGGCTTTGGTAACGATGAGCATTCTCAAGTTCCGTAGCACACTGAAACTCATTTTCGAGTCTCACCGACGATATTCGACGTTTACGACGCACTCCTGACAGACACTGTTTCCAGATGC